CATGTTGGTTTTGTGTACCAAGTTTGGTCCAGATTCGTCGTCAGCTGGGTTGAGTGTTCTCTGGATATGGGTGAACTACAACTCCCAGATTACTGTAACTTCCATTCCATCATGTAAACATGATTTTATTTCTCAAAGTAGCCCATATTGTGTGGATTCAGTGTCCTTAACATCCATTGTAATATAGGTACAATCACAAAATTTAGTTTCATAATTGAACTGTACTGTATTTTACTCAGTTATGCATCTTCATTTTTATTAAAATGAAAAATTAACCAGTCACTTAATTAAACCAGTGACCAGTGGGTGTCAGTATTACTTCATACTTTGCACCAAAGGAGGAAAAACTTAGTTCACTAAAGATTCAGCCACACTGCAGGCTTAGGGCTGTTTGATACCTCTTTAACTGCCATATCTCAATGCTATGGGATCCTGAGATTTGTAGTTTAGTAAGGCACCAGCACTCTTTGGCGGAGAAAGCTATTTAATAGATATTAGGTTGCATTAGGGATTTAAAGAAGCCTTAAAGCAGTGATTCTCAACCAGGTGTCCCCAGATGTTTTTGGCCTTCAACTCCCAGAAATCCCAGCCAGTTTACCAGCTGTTAAGATTTCTGGGAGTAGAAGGCCAAAAACATCTGGGAACCCCCAGGTTGAAAATTGTGGCACAGACACTGAGACCTGGGAAGCCCTGGCCCTCAAGCATTCTAATTGGAGGTCAGCTGTTGCCAGCAGTGCTGTGGAATACGAAGAGGCACAAATAGAAGGTGAAAGGGAAAAACATGTTAAGAGGAAGTCACATCAAGCCAACCCTGACTGAGATTGCCTTCCACCTGGAAATCAATGCACTCACTGCAAAAGAACATGTGGATCAAGGATAGGTCTCTACAGTCACCTACAGACCCACCATCAAGACCCTACACTTGGAAGGTAATCATACTCAGACATGAGTGATCACCAGTTATGACACTGCATTAATTCTACAGTATAGATGCACCCTATAACTAATTGAATGAAGAAATTCCCTTTTAGTTGTGCTGAATACGCTCATTATACTCAAAGCAGGCTGGGAGAATATTAGATACAGACAACAAAAAGGATAATTAGCTAGGATTAGGTTTCCAAGATTAATATGGAGAATTGGAGATAAATATTTCAGTACCCCGGACAGAGCATAAGCAACTACGCAATCTGTCCCATATCCTTCCATGTGAAGTATGGCTCATATGTTCCTACCTCTTTTAGAGAAGCACAGCACCTTAGAATAACATGTTTACTTAATTCTGCCCATAAATACATCTGAATTTTTGTTTGTTCAAATTTTCCACTTCTATTTGTGATTTGTAAATTTCCCAACCTTGTGTGTGAAGTGGAATCTCCTGTTGCAATAGTTTAATTGGCTGCCCACTCGTTTCTGGGCATAATCTGAAGTGCTTATTTTGACCTACGGAGTCCTAAATAGCGTGGATCCAGGTTATTTGCAGGGTCGTATCTCTCTTAACAGAATGCTATGATCATCTGGGGAGCCCTTCTCTCTGTCCCACCAACCCCAAGCTCCTTTGGTGGGAACAAGGGAAAGAGCCTTTTCAGCGGTTGCTCCCAGACTTTGGAATTCTCTTCCTAGAGCAGTGGTTCCCAACCTTTGGTCCTCCAAGTGTTTTGAACTTCAACTCCTACAATTCTTAACAGCTAGTGAGCTTGCTGTGATTTCTGAGAGTTGAAGTCCAAAACAACTGGAGGACCAAAAGTTGGGAATCACTGCCCTAGAGAAACCAGGATGGCCCCCTCCCTTGTTCCCACCAAGAAGGGCAATAAAATGTGTCTCTGCCATCAGACATTTAAGGAATGGTGATGAGCAGGCTGCTGAGGATGGTGTGAGTGGAATTTTAAGATGGGTATAACAATGAAATACATTTCATTATTTTACTGCTTAATAGTTTTAATAACATAATATTTTTTGTTTTTATATTTATAATTTAATGTATTCAATGTGTTGTCAAAGATTTTCATGGCTGGAATCACTGGGTTGCTGTAAGTTTTTTGGGCTGTACGGCCGTGTTCCAGAAGCATTCTGTCCTGACGTTTCACTTTCATCTATGGCAGGCATCCTCAGAGGTTGTAAGGTCTGATGTATCACTTTGTTTTTAATTACCATTGCTTTATATTTATTGTTAGCCACCTCAAGTCCTGATATTGAGAGAAAGGCAGGATAAAAATAAAGTAAATAATTAAGGAACAGGAGGAAATGTCTAGACGAAGACTCAACCACCTTACAGAAATAGCCCTCAACTAGGCTACGATGTCCAACAGCTTCTGAAGAATGTGGAGCAAAATGTTCAGTTTTGTTGGAATCTCGTCCACAATGTACTTTTAAACATCACAAACAAATAACCACATTATGAGAATAAAAACTTAATTGTCCTTTTGGCTGCAGGAGAAAACAAACACCAGATCAACTTTACTCACAACTGTCTTTGTTTTTGTTGGATTTTTTTTTGAAGAAGAAGCTAAATCAGGTCATGTCATGAATGCAAGCTTGTTTTCTATGATCTACTTTATCAACAACACTTAAAGTAATGAATGGAATAAAACTTCAGAGGTCAGAGCAGGGCATATGCTGTGTGTTGGGGGAGTTGTTAAAGGAAACCACTTTTGACCAGTTAAACCCGCCTAAACCCTGTGCTTTTCACAGCTTTCAGAATGCAATGCTGTGTGCCTAAATAATAAAGAGGTAGTTTGGTAATATTGCAATTCTATCACAAGAAGATTGATTGATGAAACTACATGATCATGCTGAGATAGAAAAAATGGCAGTTCTGATTAGTTATGGAGAATATGTTAAGTAGCTTCAAGAAGGATTGTGAATTAATTCCCAATCCTGGGTTGCTGTTCGGTTGTATGGCCTGTTTTAACTATAATCTATTGTTATGTTATATAACTTTTTTTTACTTTAATTGAGTTGTTTCTGTTAATCTAGTTAGTTGTTATTTTATGTTTACTGATTTTTTTGCAAATTTGTTGTATTCTGTGTGTTCTGTGTTGCACTTTTATTGTGCTATTTTGTAAGCTGCCCCACGTCCCTTTTGGGGGATTTAAAGGATTATAGGGCTAAATGATTAATAGTAGGATTTGGAGACGAGTGGAATTAAATATTATGTAGAAATTCATTTAAAATACATCCTACTGCTTCATCACACTAGAGCAGGGGTCCACAAACTTTTTAAACAGAGGGCCAGGTCACAATCCTTCAAACTGTTGGAGGGCTGGATTATAATTTGAAAAAAACATGAATGAATTCCTATGCACACTGCACATATCTTATTTGTAATGCAAAAAAAAACACACTTTAAAACAATACAATAATTAAAATGAAGAACTTATTGATATTTCAATAGGAAGTGTGGGCTTGCTTTTGGCTGATGAGATAGGATTGTTGTTGTTGTGTGCTTTCAAGTCATTTCAGACTTAGGTTGACCCTGAGCGAGGGCCGGGCAAATGACCTTGGAGGGCCGCATCCAGCCCCCGGACCTTGCTTTGAGGACCCTTGCACTAGAGAATGAATCCACTTTAAATCCGGTTTCTGCCTCCTACAGAATTCTGGGGTTTGTAGTCTAGGAAGGCTGTTAAAGTCTCCTCCCTAAAGTACAGGTAGCAGAAACCAGTTTTAAGTGGATTCATTCTCTAGTGTGATGAGGTCTCTAGAGGAGGTAAGACTCTTTAGTAACTATGACCATTGTCTGGAAAACTGGAAGTAATTTGTATTCTTATGTCTGTATGTATGTATTGCATTTGCATGCTGCCTTTCTCCTAAGGTGGAATCAAAGGTGGCTTCCAAACAATATTTCCAATAAAATTATAAAAGCAATTAAAAGCAGATAAAACAGCATAAAAGTATTTCTGTTGTAGTTTCTACTATTAGTACAAGTTTTTAATTTTGTATTTTGGAGTTTTAATTGTAATGTTACCTTATATATTGTTTTATATTATAAAAACACTGTGTGTTAATGAATACATTTCAAAAAATAAAAAGAGATGGTCGTTTGCTGTGAGTTTTTCAGGCTGTATGGCTTTGTTCTTCTGGAACATGGCCATACAGCCCAGAAAACTCACAGCAACCCAGTGATTCCAGCCATGAAAGCTTTCGACAACACATTAATAAGAGATAGTTTTAACTAGTAGTTTGCTAGAAAAGGGTAATCATTTTTAAAAAGAGAAATGAAGACTGGAAACTTCAACACACACCTACACACAATCTGAAATTGTTTTTCTGGACACGTATGCCCACCCTGATATACTAATCTGGATGTAGCCATTCTAAAATTTCAAATCAAAGTTTCATCATTGGATTCCCAGCAAAAATAGCCATCAGTAATTGGAAGGCAATTCATGTAACCAACATAGGCGGGATCTATACAGGTATGCCATCCACAAAACAAACAATCTGGATTCTGGATTACATGGCAATGTAGACAGGGCCATAGAAAACAGGTGTAGTAGATTGTACCATATGGCACCTGGATCTGATCAAGGATGAATTGTCATTTTAAAAAATGATCATATTTCAAATTTAATAGATAGTGTGCAGAACTATATGGCACTCCAGAAAACAATTTGGAATTCTTCATACAACAGAGAGAACTGGCATTTCTTCAAAGACACAGCAGTTATGCATATTGGTGATTTTATACATTCTGCTCAGAGAAGGAAACCAGGCTTCAAAGTACTGTTTATTCATGTGCTTCCATTTTATATGATCTTGGTTTTACATTTTAATGGCTGCATTTTTCATCAATCAAAACTCTAGCTCATTTCTCATTGCGATGACATAGTCCCCAAGTATATAATATCACAAAATAATGGAAATAAGCAGGTGTATTTATTAATAAATTGATATGCATATATTGTATTTAATGTATATGTTCATATATTCATCTCTTTGGATATCAATATAGGCATAGAGTGTTTTATAATGAAAATTTAAAAGTAAAAGTAAATACTTACCCTTGATCCTTTTTCAAGAAAGCATGGACAAATTGAGCAATCCCGTCCACCACAGCGACCAAGATATGAATATTCGCCCTAAGAAAAAACAAAAATTAATGTTCTTCTTTCTAATTATTTCCCTTTTCAAATCTGTTTGGGAGTGCCAATCCTAGAGTTTGAGAGTTCTAATCAAAACAACCAATGGAAGCCCCTGAAAATAAGAAAGACATAACATTTCTCTGAGTGCAATAAATGAAGTTTAATGGTTTTTATCCAAGAGTCCAACTTCCTTTCCCTTTTCTCTGAGACAGCCTTTGCAGCCACCTGAAAATTTCCTCTGGATGAATCCCAGCAGGCAAATTCAAACTTTTAGTGTGCATAAAGGACTGGAATGCAATGGGGAGATTATTCTTCCTGCTGTTTTACCATTAAAACGGCACTAAAGAAAAGTACATTATGGTAATTTTTCAAATTAAAAATGGATAGAAACATGATCTAACCCCCAAATTTTGATTTATGGTTTCATATACGGGCAGTCCCTGAGTTACAAACATCCAACTTACAAATGACTGATAGTTAAGAATGGGGATGAAATAACAGGAAGCGAGAGAAATCTATCCCTGGGAAGAAATATTTATCTTGGAAGAGTTATCATGGGGAAAAGGTGTCTCCACTGAAACTTTATCACCAAACCTTGTTTCCACAACAAGCCAAATTTCTCAAAATCCAATTATCACAGGGACAGAAAGTAAGATGAAATCTTCTGAACAGGGGCACAGACAGGAAAACAAACACCGCAGGGGTGTTAACCTTTCCCTATGCTATCCAAAGTCCCCCCCCCCCCTCTATATATATGGCTGGAGATAAACTTACAAAAGATACCTATTCCGACTAACAAAAAAAATCATTTAAGTACAAACCTACAGAAGCTATTTTTTTTCGTAACTCAGAAATTGCCTGTACACCAAAACAGTTGATCCATAAAACCTTCAAAAAGATTGTGTTTAGGCTTGTGTTCCATCTCCAAAATATGTATCTCATTACAAATGTATATGCAAAAACAGGTATTCCAAGATCTGAACATTTGTGGTCCCAAGCATTTTGGATAAGGGATATTCAACTTACATTTTTTAAAAATCTTGATTTGAGGGGCACCTTAGTGGAAGTAGATAGATCACTAATAACTAACTAACTAATAAATAACTAAATAATCACTAATAAATAACTAAATAATCAAAGTTTAAATGTTAACTTTGTAGCATTCCAATGTAAAGAACATTTTTACTTTTTAAAAACCTTTTTGGGTACAAAGATGTTGTTAGACTGCAACTTCTGTCATTCTTCCCTATTGTTTTTGAGTGTAAGGCTATTATGAGCTGCCCTTTTCCAACATCTAAAGGGCCACATGATTCTAAGCCCCGTTTTAAAAGGTTATTATAAATTAAATTCCAAATCTACCTAATTACGTTTATGCCTGGAGATCAGATCCACTCTGTAGATGACTATCCCAAACCTAGGGCATGCTGATTCCAAGGAAGGGTGAAAAAAATGTTCAGGCTGTTACCTCACCTTAACATTTTTGTTGCCCTGAAACATTCTGAGCTCACGCTTTACCCTTATGTCCTACTGAGAAGGATAAGAAGAGATTTTCCCATGTGAGTTTTCTGAAACACATAGTACTTGAGAATTGCTTAACCTTAAACAAAGGTGAATACATACAGTCCAAAGCAGATTGCCAAAAGTTCATTCCATTAGAAATTCTGTGCCTTTAAGCAGCTTCAAAGAGGAACAAATTCCACTCCTGAAACTTCTCTTTACTGCTATTCCATGAATATAACAGAGACATCTGCTTAATTTAGCCATTTAGATGTTAAAAAGTACGAGAGTACTGCCAAGGGAAAAGGAAAATATGAGATAGCTGATAACTTCTTCCACACAGTTTCCCTACTTCAGTGGTTCTGAACGTGTGGGTCCCCAGAAGTTTTGATCTTCAACTTCTAGAAATCCTAACAGCTAGTAAACAGGATTTCTGGGAGTTTTATGACAAAACGTCTGGGAACACAGGTTGAGAACCACTGATCTACATGCTTGAAAATGTAAAATTGCTCTCTTCGATATGATTTATATGAAACTTAGCACTGGGACAGAGAGTAATGCTGACATGCTGCTGGGGAATGGAAATGTATTCACATTCTTTTAAGGTAGGCAGCAACAGATTTAATCACATAATATGGGATAACTGTTGGACATTGCACACTAAAAGTGGAGAGAAGCTGAACTAGGATCTCGTAGTAGATTTCCCAATGATATTTTGTTACCAGCAAGGGCATACAACAATTGGTTAGTAGCAACAAAATCAAAGAGCCCATATGGTGTAGTGGTTTAAGAGTTGGACTTGGACGCTGGGTGACAAATTTCTGGATTCAAAATTCTTTAGTTCAATGTTCTGCTCCAGCAGATAGTTTTTAAAAGTCTATATTGCAAGCCTTGAATTTCTGTTATAGGTCATATTCTGGGGCTGCGGTGACATTTTCATGTACTGCAATAGCAGTCTAGGTCAGTGGTTCCCAACCTTTTTTTTTTCTACCAGGGATCACTTTAACCAACATTAGTACCAAAAGGGTTACGAATCAGTTTTTCGTCAACTTTACATTGTGTTTGGTTATTTGGGGTGCTGATTCAGAAAATTGCATTGGATAGACCACATCAGTTCTAGTTTTGGATACAGAACACATGCCATCCAGTAGTCGCCATCTGCTCACCCACAGAAAACCATAGTTAATAAGCCTCGGCACTATAAGAGAGTTTTGCAAGACCAGTCACTCTTGTTGCAATTGTGTAGTAAAGGTGAGGCCGCAGACCATATTTTAGTTCTTGTGGACCACTGGTGGTCCACAGATCACAGGTTGGGATCCACTGGGCTACATAAATAATTTTCAATGTGGTGTGGTATCACAGTCCATAGCACAGTCCATATGGTCTGCGGCCTCACCTTTACTACACAATTTTGTAAGAACATATATAATCCATATGAAATTTGCACAGCAGTTGCAAGGTCATGTTGTACCAGTGCATCATAAAACTTAGATAGCAAAATCATATATGAGACACAGTTGTACAAGATGTTTCGGTTTGAATTTACCTTCTTTCATGCATGTCTCCAATTCAAACAAAAGTTCATATTTCAGTTTTGTTTAGAATCTACCCACTTTTCCCCTTATCTAAAATATTTGCAAAACATTTTGAGTTCTTGACCTTCATGAGCACACAAGCACAAGCTTACATTTTTTTTTCTATGTTCAGAAAGGATTCCCGTGGGAATATAAATTAGTCCCTCTTGTTTGTTGCAGGCATGCTTCAAAATAATTCATCATTTTTTTCCTAATAAAATTATGTTTTTATCATTCTAGGAAATATTTTGAGGAATAGCCTTGCATTAGAGATTAAAATGCTAGAACAGCCAAGATATAGTTTAAGGACATATTTCATGACAATTCCCCATAAATAACTTAATATTTTGAAAGAAAATCTTTGAAAATCTCTTTGGACAAATCAATATTGAGGAATCTTTGGACCGCTAAAGGTCTTGGATTACACTGTCTGTAATTGTTATATTACTCAAATTAGCCAGGTATTCTGGAAATTATATTTGATTGCATCTATAGCTGAAAGGATCCATGATTGTGGCCTAAAGAAGTCGTTTAAACTGCATTTTAAGGAAGCATCAGACTTCTTGCAACCTCACGAACTGCTAAGCTCAAGCAGAATAGAACCATTGAATTGATTAAAACGTTGACTTAGCATGGCAAGGTAAATGCATACAGAACTGTCAGATCAGACAACTAAATGCTCTAGGAAATATATTTAAGCTTATGAAACAATTTACAGTAGTTTAGGATATTTTTGTTGTTACACTGCATTGATGGGTGACTTTTAACCTTGAGAGAATGTTCCTATCATAGGGTGTGTGTACACTATTAATGCACTTTGTCACCACTTTAATGCTATGGAATCATGGGATCTGTAGTCTGGTGAGGCATGAGCTTTCTCTCGAAGAAAAGGCTAAAGACCTGTTAAAACTACAGTTCTCGTGATTCTATAGCACTGAGCCATGGCAAATAAAGTGGTGTCAAACTGTATTACTTCTACGGAGTAGATGCAACCATCATCAAAAGCAATGAGTGCAGAATCTGAAGATTCTACAAATGTCACTTTTGGTATACAAAATAGTTCCTGAGGTTCACTCAAAGTTTCTATATGGTGGAGAAAACCTAGAAAACACAAACTGAAAATAACCATTCGAGCTCTACTTCTAAAACGTTTTATTGAAAGTTGATAAACACGCCTATTACCAGGAAGGAAAAAAATAAACAAAAACAAAATTAGACATTCCTATGTAGCAAATTGGAAAAGAGCAAAGGAACCTTTGCATTCATGTAACATACCCCATAAACTGTCTGGAGTGACGAAACAATGATCACCAGCCACCTGGTAGAGAAGAAAATATGGGTTAATTTGATACATTCATTCTCAAATTGGTTAACTAACAAAGTATTTCTAAAAATATACATAATCTGACCACTTTTCAGACTTTTTCTGAAACATCTGTACATCAAGTTTAGACATCATGAAACATCCTCTCTCTCGCACTCTTTCTCCATATATATGGTGACATTCATGCACAATAAGTACTGACTTTTTCATCTCAGTTTTTCTTCTCAACTGCAGACATAAATTCTCATCTGCAGCATGGTGACAGATTATCTCAGCAGTACTCAAGATGTAAGTTTGAGATGTAAGGCAAAAGCAAGCACATAGTACAAATCACCATTGATTAGCTTTTCTCCCATTGAAAAATGGACAGTAAAAATAGAAGATATCCTAATCACACAGAGTGCTTATTCACTCTGAGTTTCCATGTGAGTGGAGGAGTAAATGCTTTGGGTTTTAGTCTGAAAGTTGAATGGAGCTTTCCAGTGTGCTGAAGCCTCTTTTTCCTCCTACAAAGTCCAGCATTTTGGACAGACTAAAAGTGAGACTGAAATAAAGAGGGGAGAAGTCAGTTGTGCTTTTAATGTTTTTCATTTGCTTCTTTTTTAAAACTGGGGATAGAGTTTATTTATTATTTTTAGTTGGCAGGGGTGAGGGATAAATTATGGAATGAGGAATATTATGGGATTATTTTTGTACTCAATTTTCTGCTTTGTTTTTCAGTTACTGTATTTTTTTATTTGTTGAATTTAAGTTACATTTTTGAAAACGTAATACAAATTAATTTCAAAAAAACTATAAAAATAAGTGTGGTTTAACTCTCCACTTATCTAAAAGTAACTACCCACTGTGTAGCTACAGAACCATCAATTGCTTTCACCATTTGCATTCATTCTTCACACCAGCCAATTTGGAAAGCTGAAGGAGTACTATGGACACTTCCACAAAATAGTAATTTTGTGAAATGATGATGATTATAATGATTATATTTCTGTTTCTGTTTATTTACACCCCACTTTTTCTGTCCACAAAAGAGACCCAAAGTGGCTTGCTTTAAAAGCATTTAAAACCACAAAGTATGCAAATCTTAAAATAGAATTCAATATCAATGATATTATTTAAAAATTAACAGTTAAAATCCTTAAAATGAACTGAAAACGTCTTCAAGGCTAAACAACAGCAGCATCTGAGTCAATCTTAAAAACGTTCTTCCTGGGGAAAGTTCCCTGGGAAAGTGCTATTTACAAAGTACATCGTGGAAGGTATATCTAGTAACCAAATATCCATATATCACAAAAGGAAATACACACACACACACATACACATACACACACACGTCCCAAAAGGAGAAATGGTTACAGGAAAGGCTAAAATCAAACAATCAACCTTTCTGTTTCAACACTCATTTTACAATAGATGGGACTCTGGGCCAAACTTGGAGTATTTTCCTCTCAAAATAAACTTTCCTCAGACATCAGACTTAAAAATTAAGCCTATGCTTATCTTCTTAAGACCAACTCATACACTGGAAATGCAATATATATTGTTGAGGACAACCACATGCTATGTCAAACAGAAGTCCTTCACCATTTGAAACAGTCCTTCATCAAAATATGGGCTATGTATTTCATTTAGTTTGACTGTCAGAGACAAGTAACTCTTGTTACTTGTTACAAAACAAGTTATGTAAGTCTAGCCAGAATACCAAACAATGTATTCCTCTCCACAAAGTAGACCAAAAAATATCAATTTCAATTTCACAAAAGACAAATTAGTAACGCTCAGAGAAGCATGGCACAAAGGCAAAAAGCCATTCACGCAGTACAGCCTAAATGCTGCAAAACAAATGCACATCCTATGTACAAGCACACCCCAGAGGAAACACAACACAAAAGCAAACCCCAAATAAAAATATACTCCACACAAAAAATAAAATATATACCGGTATATAACTAATGTGCACAACAGGAAGCAAAATGTCAATGCACTGAGTCCAGGGAATACATGGCATTCTTTCCTGTCACCTGGGTAAATCCATAGGATCCTCCATATCACTACATACATAATCTTGGAGATGGGGTCAAGTTTAAACACAAAATTCACTTGTATTTCATTATGTTGTTGTTGTCATTCCATTTTTTTCTCTGAAAGAGACTCATGTACACCTTATACACAAAGCTTGAAGGTAAATGTACAGACAATATTCCAATAACTTTGTGAATGAAGCAAAGTTTGCATACATATTTTATGTTATTAGGATGTTGTGCTTTGTTTGCATTTTCAGTTTGAGTGTTTAGTCTTATTTTATTGTAATTTTGTTGTTTGGGCTTGGCCTCATGTAAGCTGCTCCGAGTCCCCATTGGGGAGATGGTGGCGGGGTAGAAATAAAGTTTATTATTATATTATTATTACATTTATCTATCCAAAAGCAAAAGTAACACTGTCTGAGGCCCATTTAGAGTTGCATCATATGAGTCTCTACTGACCATATAATGCAGTTTGAAACTGCATTATATGGCATTGTAGATGTGGCCCAAGTCACAATTTTGGATTTTGGAGTATTCCAGATTTCAGAATTACTGATAAGGGAGGGATGCTCAACCTGTACTTCAATTTCTTCATTCTGTGTGGTCCCAGAGACATTCTTCAGCATAAAGATGTAAGCTTCACTCTATAGAATACCACTTTCCTAGTTTTTTTAGAAAATAAAAACCAGGAAGGGCAAGGAGTCTGGCAGTGTTTTTAGGCACCATGTTGGAAACCCCAGCTCTAAGCAATATATAGACAGCAAAAATGGGAAAGTAGAGGAAAGATTGTCCATAGAGATGTGCAGGAAAGCATACATTTCAGTGGTTTGGCCATTCTAGTCTACATTCTAAACACACACATCCCTATGAGCATTCATAGCATATAGATATACTGAGGGGCAAAATAATGAAATTTGGATTGCATATTTATAACTAAATAAATATTTGAATGCAAATATTTGGAATTACTACATATGCCAGTAAGAATTATCAAGCAAATGTAACATTGAAGCTATTTCAAGCAACATCCCATGTGATCAAAATAAATACACTATATGCAGCCGGCCCTTTCCAGTCTTCTAGCCACAAGATTATTAGGTATCCTTCCATTATCTGAGTGGAGGCCACTAGGGGTTGGTAGAGAGAGAACTCTTCTTGCTGGGTATCAGGGATAAAAAAAATGGAAAAAAATAAAGACATCCTCCTCACTTATTTAACAACTGCTGCAAGAATAGTACTCGCAAGGCACTGGAAAACTGAAGAAATCCCAACGAGACAAGAATGGCTGATAAAAATGATAGAGATCATGAAAATGGATTTACTAACTCAACAACTAGCTCACAACCAAAACATAACTAGAAAAGAGACGGACTGGACACAACTGAAACAGGAGAAGATGAAGAATATGGTATGAATAGAAGAATAGAACAGCTCAATCACTTGGAGCAGATAATCAACCTAGGAAAGAACCAGTAAAGAAGAACCCCAACAACCCTTACCCACGGTCAAGAGTAAGGAAAAACTGTAAATATCCTGTTACCCCCCCCTTCTCTCTCTCTCTCTCTCTCTCTCTCTCTCTCTCTCTATATATATATATATATATATATACACACACACACACACATTCTTTTTTCCCCTTCCTATCCATTTTTTACCTGCAAAATAAAACCAATAAAGATATTTATTTTTAAAAGAGAGAGAAGGATGGTTCATTTTATGGAGATGGAGGGTGGGTTGAAGGAGGAAAACCATTTTTCCCTGTTCTCATGTTATTCCCCTCGCCCATGTCCCCATTGTGGAAATAACACTGAGAAGTAGGGAGAGGGAATAAGCAGCGAAAGCGGAGGATGTTGTTTTTCTCCTTCTACTACCCCCCCCCCATAAAATGGACTATCCTTCTCTCTCTAGAGCCCCCTAGTGGCCTCCTCTCAGATAATGGAACAGTAAAATAACGGTAAAGGTTTCCCCTTAACATTAGGTCTAGCCGGGTACAATTCCAGGGGATGGTGCCCATCTCCATTTCTAGGCCGAAGAGTTGGCGTTGTCAGTAGACACCTCCTAGGTCATGTGGGTGGCATGACTGCATGAAGAACCATTATCTTCCTGCTAAAGTGGTACCTACTGATCTACTCACATTTGCATGTGTTTGAACTGCTAGGTTGGCAGAAGCTGTGGCTAACAATAGGAGCTCACCCCATCCTGTGGATTCAAACTGCCAACCTTCTGGTCAACAAGTTCTGAAACTTAGCGGTTTAACTCATTGCACCACCGTGGCCCCCCATGGATCAGTACCAAATATAATTTGACTAACAGAGATCTAATGTAAAACTTACCATGCACTTGTGAAGATATGAACGGTCCATTTTAAGTAATGCATGATGGGTGTGATTTACATAAATACATTTGAATTCAAGTCTTCGCTGCTTAATTTTTAATCAGCAAGATTTGACTGCATCTGAAAATCATGATTCTTCTGCTGGTTTCCTGGTAAAGAAAATAGACAAATAACTGAACTTTAGTTGTGTGCTTCAAGGTGAGTTAATGTTATTATTAGCATAGTTAAATAACAGTGCAAATGGTCTATTAACGTGCTTTCTAATATCATAAATAGAACCTTGCTTTCCCCGTACAGAGCCCAATATTGCTGGAAATATTGACCCCACTATCTTTTCTAGAAACCCAGTGCATTATGAAACAGAACTTGACTTCTTTGTTCCAAGCATTACGAGAATGTATTGTCGAAGGCTTTCATGGCTGGAATCACTCAGTTCTTGTGGGTTTTTTCGGGCTATATGGCCATGTTCTAGAGGCATTTCTCCTGGCATTTCGCCGGTGAAACCTCAGGAGAAATGCCTCTAGAACATGGCCATATAGCCCGAAAAAACCCACAAGAACTGAGATTACGAGAATGTCTTACAAGGTATATATTTTGGATGAATGCAAACATTCTTCTTAGCTATAGGAATGACTCCATAGTTCAGTAGTAAGGAAAATAATTTTCTATGGGAAAGGACAATTGATAGAATCTCATTCATATACATATGAATATTTATACAACTAGATATATACCCACACACACAAATATATACACCCATACATATACACACAAATGCCTAGCAGATTATTTTAAAAGATCCCACTCTACCTGGAACCCAAAAACAACATGATCACTCATTACAGAAAAACCTAGGCTACATAGAAAAATAATCTGATCTGGCATAAGGAGAGATTTTTTTAAAGTGCATTTAAAAAGGTATCTTAATTAGAGTTTAGGCATGCCAAATGTTCTTTTTGGTTTTTGTTTTTTTAAATCCCTTTGATTAGTAAACACACACTTCATGCCAAATTGCATTCTTCTTTAAAGATTCTTCTTGGGTCCAAAAGAAATTTGACAATATCTGTGGGCATGTAGAACTCACTGCACAATTATTCATTTATTAACATTTATATTTATAAACAAAACAACAAGTTAAAGCAGGCCAAAAGATGTTTTTAAAAATCTAAGACCCTTTCCACACTGCGCCTATATCCCAGGATCTGATCCCAGATTATCTTCTGATCCCAGGTTATCTGGCAATGGAGAGTCATATAATCCAGTTTAAAGCAAATAATCTGGAATCAGAACCTGGGTATTGGACAGTGTAGAAGGGGTCTAAGAGTTAAACTGATGTTGAAGGACTATCCAATCAGATTCCTGTAAAAGTCAATGGTTTCCAACCTTTCTAATGCCTCAACCCCTTAATACAGTTCCTCATGTTGTGGTGACCCCCAACCATCACATTATTTTTGCTGCTACTTCACAACTGTAATTTCGCTACTGTTATGATTTGTAATGTATTTTCATTCACTGGACAAAATTTGGCACAAATACCCAATACACCCAGATTTGAATACTGGTGGGGTTGGGGAGGAATTGATTTTGTCACCTAGGAGTCATCGTTGCTGGGATTTACAGTTAACCTACTATCAAAGAGCATTCTGAACTCTACCAACAATGGAACTGAATCAAACTTGGCACACAGAACTCCAATGACCAACAGAAAATACTGGAAGGGTTTGGTGGGTATTGACCTTGAGTTTTGGAGTTGTCGTTCACCTACATCCAAAGAGCACTGTGGACTCAAACAATGTTGGATCTGAACCAAACTTAGCATGGATACTCAATATGCCCAAATGTGAAATTGGTGGAGTTTGGGGAAAATAGACCTTGACATTTGGGAGTTGTAGTTGCTGGGATTTTTAGTTCACTTACAATTAAAAAGCATTCTGAACTCCACCAATAGCATTGGGTCAAACTTCCCACACAGAACCCCCAATGACCAAAAGAAAATACTGTGTTTTCTGATGTTCTTTGGTGACCTCTCTGTCATCCCCTCGCGACCCACCCAGTCATCCTGGCCCCTAGGTTGAGAAATGCTGCATTAAGTGATGGAGGAAAAGGCTTTTCAGAAAAATGACAGACCATGGAAAAACTACTCTTTAAACTGCAAATCCAAGTGAACCCCAGCTAGCAGGGTCAACATTGTCCATAAATCCATAAAATAATTTTTCCAAGTACTAAAGTGGAAACAATGTTCTTACCAATCTCTGCTGAGTCACCACCCAAAACAGTGCAGCCAAAGAATAAGCAGCCTTAAAGAGATTATCAGTTTCTTTGGAAACCCTACCAGTGTAAGATGCAAATTGTGTCTGCTATTCCCAGGAGACCAACAATACTTCATTGCCTGACACTGAAATCATGTTCTGAATATTTCCTGTAACTATTAATATGACTTTAGAAATGTATTTTTAACATCTGGATTTCAATGGAGCTATATGCACAGAAGATTTTCATAGTGTCAAAATAAGTACTAAAACAGTGGTTCTGAACCTATGGGTTCCCAGGTGTTTTGGCCTACAACACCCAGAAATCCCAGCCAGTTTACCAACTGTTAGGATTTATGGGGGTTGAAGGTCAAAACATCTGGGAACCCATAGGTTCAGAACCACTGTTTTAGTATACTAAAAGCACATCCTCAACTAGAATTACTTTTTGGAACTTTAATAATAATAAGATATTTCAGAGAGGGAAACTAGTGAAAGCCTTAACATCATCATTCCAAAAGGGAAGCCTAATTCCAGATTTGCTTTCAAGGCCAGCATTCAGGAAGTAACACCCTTTTTTCCTGGATCAGTTAATGCAAACAGGCTTATGGACAAGACAGGAGGCTCATCTTACTGCACCTGCTGTCATAACTCAGTCTGTTGCAAGGAAGGAAATGGCAGGGTAACTCAAGGCCAAAGCCTATGGCAGACAATGCCAATAATTTACCAACTAGATAATGAATAGCATCAAGAAAAAGGCCATCACTGTTCTGCCCACTGCAAATTTCATCCCCAACTGAAGTTTTAAAACAAAATATGCCCATAGGCATATGTGGTTCTTGGGGCTTCATTGTGTAGCTGTTGAAGCCAGACCCGAGATTCACTAAAAATCTTCAGATAATTTTTCGTCTCAAAACTATTTTGACTCCCAAGCTTCTCAATTATCCCAAAATTGTAAAAAAAAAACTGGCCTGAAAATGAAAATTGAATACTTCCATGGACGCATGGGCAAGAATAAATCCCATCTTTCTATGGTTGACCACAGGGTTATTTCTGTAGGGCAGTGGTTCCCAACCAGTAGTCCGCAGACCACCAGTGGTCCACAAGAACTAAAATATGGTCCTCAAAACATTTTTTTTAAGTCTTGAATTTTATAATCATAATAATCACAATCGTACTTCCCCTTCTTTAACATTTACCTTCCAAATCTTCCTACATTTTTTCCCTCCCTCCCTCCCCTTCCCTCCCTCCCTCCCCTTCCCTCCCTCCCTCCCCCTCCCTCCTGAACCCCAGTATATTTCTACTAATCTTGCAGATCCAGCTACTGGTAAAGTCTTTTTTGTATTGTTGGCTCCTCCATTTTTCACCCAGTTGAAGTAGACCTTCCATCTATTTGTAATGTCCTTTTGTTTGTTCGTCCTTGTTACATGCTTAGTCATAATTCCCGTAATGTCTAACAACACTTGATCATACATATAATCATTCCAATTATTTAACATCAATTTCTATTTCTCTTTCCATCCTCTAGTGATCACAGCATGTGCAGCACTTATTGTTACCGTACATTCCGGCATATAAGACGACTGGGCGTATAAGACGACCCCCAACTTTTCCAGTTAAAATATAGAGTTAAGACGACTCCCATGCATAAGACTACACCTGCGTATAAGACGACCCCTGACTTTTGCGAAGATTTTCTTGGGTTAAAAAGTAGTCTTATATGCCAGAATATACTGTACTTTAAATAACTCCTGACAATTGATTTTTATACTCAGGTGTTCCAACGCTCACCATTGTAGCAAATCATTAATTTGAATTTTTATCTGTAGTATCTCATGATACTCATTAGCTAGAATTTCTTTACTTCAGAACACTCCCACCACATATGTGAATAAGTATCTTTTTCTTATGTGGGCCTGCATTTGACTGATGAGATAGTCAAATTAATTAGGATTGTTGTTGTTGTTGTTGTGTGCATTCAAGTAGTTTCAGACTTAGGGCAACCCTAAATCTAAAGTTTAGGGCAGGGGCTGAGTGAATTACTTGTAGGGACATATCCGACCCACAGGCCTTAGTTTGGGGACCGCTGACCTATAACACCTGACATATGAACCTATCAAATGGTTTTATCAGTAAATATTTGTCCAGAAGAAGTTTGCTTTTGCCTTCCTCTGAAGCTGAAATAATGTGAATTGCGCAGTGGTTTCTATGACTGAGCAGAGACTTGAATCCTGTTGTACAGAGTTATACTCCAAGGACCCTTCCACACAGCCCTATATCCCAAAATATAATGGCAGAAAACCCCACATTATCTGAGTGTGGACTCAGATAACTGAGTTCAAAGCAGATATTGTGGGATTTTCTGCCTTGATATCCTGGGATATAGGGCTGTGTGGAAGGGCCCCGGGGCTCAAAACACTGCACCATGCTGGCTCTCATATTATTATTATTATTATTATTATTATTAATAATAATAATAATAATAATAATAATAATAATATACAGTTGCTCAGATAATTCATTGGAACCTGTGCCACAAATACCATCAGCTTGTGACAAAGAACTGGTGGGATCACAAGCTGGAAAAAGTTACACAGAATGAACATGTCAAGCTACTCTGGGACTTCAGACAGGCAAGAGTTTTGAAGCACAACACTCCTGACCTCACGATCGTGTTAAAAAACAAAGTATGGATTGTCGATGTTGCAATCCCAGGTGACAGCAGGATTGAAGAGAAACAACTGGAAAAGCTGACACAATATGAGGATTTAAAGATCAACTGCAAAGACTCTGGCACAAGCCAGTCAAGGTGGTCCCAGGCACACTGGGTGCAGTGCCTAAAGACCTTGGCTTGCAGTTAAACACAATCGGCATTGACAAAATTACCATCTGCCAGCTGC